TTTTAAATATCAATTTTATCAAGACATCGATGTTACATGGTAAAATTTCAAGTGTTCAGGGGGTTCTGGTTTTAAAAGATATTTCTATTTTTTTTCAATTTTTTCAATTTCTTCCACGTCTTTTTCAAGTCGCTTTTTTAACTCCATCTTGTACACATGCAGATTCATGAATTTAACCTTTCTTTGACACGCGCCCGTTCATGAAATTTTGCTTTTTTTTACGTCTTTCATTTATTCTGCTGATTATTTTTCCTGTCATATTAATTAAATTATAATATTTGTAATTTTTATTATTAAATTATAATATTTTAGTTAATATTTTTAATTAATATTTTAATTATGTCATAGTATTATTCAAGTGACAAAGTAACTATTTATTAATATGTCGGGATAAAATTGATATTTAAGACTTAGTAATCTTTTCATATAAAATTATTAACGCTCTATTTTTTATATTATTTTAATATTTTTAATATTGAGTACTAGATATAAAGACATCTGCTATTTATTAAATCTTAAATCATATATGTGTGTGTGTGTGTGTGCATGAATATTTGATTGGGTGTGTGTGCATGTTGTTTCCATGGTTACATAAATAATTTTACTTCCCTGACGTGTATTTAATTTTTCGTCTAACCTGTTTCTTTATTCATTCATTGATTCATGTCCTTCATGAATGTTTTGTTACAGAACACTGCAGAATATGACGTAACTCCCAATTGTCTTTTGCTATCAACTGACTTGTTTCTTCTTTTTCTATGACTTTTCTTCATTAAGATAAAAATTATTTCAAAACAGAGTTTGTTTTTTTTTCATCCGATAATGGATGCCATTCAATATTAAAGAATACAGACTACTCTGCTATTTAACAAGAACAAATGGATTTACACCGTTTCTCAGGCATTTGTTTTATACTGTCTACCACTTGAAGCTTGAGATACTATTCTGACCTGATATTTAATGCATAGCCGTTGGAGTGGGGGAGATGAATTCGTGTCTTACAATTCCATTTTGGTAGCGTAGACTATTTTACTAATCGATATTAATTATGCACGTCCCAATTATATATGTAAGTACATATTTTTACGCTATTCTTCATGCAATACGTAAACCAAGAGCCGCTTAAGGCAAAGATATATTGAATGGCATTCTTTTAGCAACGTAAGAATGATAGATTATGATGTTATGCGGGGTAGATAACGGTTAATCGCAGAGGATGTCAAGGGCGTAGAGATCTAGAAAGCATCCCCTCAGCAGTTTTCATAAATTTTGTGGAGTGATTTCACAGTGGAGGCTTGTATTTGTACGAAGTCGGTCCTAAAATAGGTTCGACGTACAAAACGTTAGGAATTTGGTATAATAGGTATTACGCAGAGTAATCTTGTTGTGGTCGCTGACTACTTTCGTATTCGACTAACTGTCGTCCGACATCGACTGACTCACCGACTGACTCGTTACTCTTACTACTCCTACTTATTATAGGTGGGAGAGTCTATTAACTATAGAATAGGTGTGTTCAACTATAACAATAAAGCAGTAATTCTTGGGAATAAGCTGTCAGAATGAAATTTTGATAAGACGTAAGTTTCATTCTGACAGCTTATTCCCAAGAATTACTGCTGGTATATTAAAGGAATAAGGATGGTACGCTTCTTTTGAACTATTTCAAGAGAGTTTTGTGCAGATTCAGTTCAGATAATGAATTTTCGGTCTAGTTTTTATTATATGCAGTTATATCAAAAACAGAAGCATAATCATGTCTTTTATTCCTTGAATAAAATAAATTTACAAGTTTTTATTTTTTTAATACCGGCTCCGGTTACTATAGAATGTTAATTACAAGTTATATAAAATGAAAATAAACATGGATAACCCTCGACAGACATTTTGCTCGAAATTGTACGACACTTCTCTTAGAATGCCCCTGCGTTATGTTTGTAACCTAGGAAAGGTTACTGAATAGAATAATCACACGAAAGTTGATAATGAAAGAAAATACTTAAGACAAGAACAACATATATAAGATTCGCCAACGGCGTGTAGAAGTAGTAGTCTACTGCTAGAAGTGAGTCAAGTGAATTCCTCAATGAATCTCCAACGGCAGGATATCTATCAACTACCCCACGCAGTTAGAAATGGTACAAGGCCGAACTTAATATGGCTCCCCTAAAAATTCCCCGTAAACCACGTATAAAACGAGGTCGGGTAGCTGTTTCCCGAGACGAGATTCTGACCTTCGACACAGCCTAGTCTGGGGATCCTCTCTGCCCAGAGGCAGAGAGTTTGACCAGCACACTTGGAGACGAATCTGTAGGATATCTACCAACCGCCCCACACGGTCAGATGTAGCACAAGACCGAATTTAATGTGGAGTATCCGAGCCCGTAGGCCCGGTTAAAAATTCATCGTAGATCCCGTATAAAACGGGATCGGGTAGCTGTTTCCCGAGACGAGAATCTGGGGATCCTCTCTGCTCGGAGGCAGAAAGTTTGACCAGCACATTTGGAGACGAATCTCCTACTGCAGACTAACATACAGTATTTACTATTATATTTACGTGAATGGAAACATATCTATTATCGTACGTAGGTATACTACAACAGTTAGTAACCTCGGACTTCCGAAAATGAATAGTCCTCTGTCGTCTGCCTCCAACAAAAACTGAGCTACAACTGTGCCACTCGCGTGCTACGCTCACTCACTGGATCAGCAGAGAAATTTTTTTTTACGAGTACTTCAAAAATTGGGGATTACAAAACACTACATGTGACTAACGCAGGATTAAAAAGCAGACATTCAAGAATTAAAGAAGACTTGTATACACATTTTTTGGGACTAAGAAGTATATTTATTGACTGAAATGCCTAATTCAAATAAAGTAAGTTATTTTAGACACAACGATTGTATGGCACGTATAAAATTATATCATTGTAACTCCTTTTAGTTTGTGGACATTTTGACCATCTTCAGTTAGAACGTCGTTTAAGCATAAATATTTCCGGCTTTCTTTTCTAACTTTTATCGCAAACATTTATTCATCATTATGAGTTTAATTTGTTTCAGACGAATAATCAACGCCGCTATTAAAAAAGGAATTTAAAAAAATGTCACTGTTACAAGAGTAATTGCACGTGACCGTAACACTTTAAGCCTTGACCACTGCTTTACCCCGTTGTTAGACAAAAATGACGTAATACTCAGCCACCGATTGAACAGTGGCAGAGAATAACGACTTAATGCTCAGTTACTGGTTGAAAGTGGTTAAACACTTGTAAACACTTGTAACTATTTTTATATCTACCGTGAAACATTACATACAAATTATTTGTGAAATTTAAAGCCACAAGCTCAGGCAGAAGAGTTAATATTGTTTGGGAACGCAGGGCTCAAAGGGGTTAACCAATAAAATTAATGCAAATTTGACGAGTTTTAAGAACTAGCTGTTGATTTTTTGAAGGTTTATCAACTCTCTTTAAAACCGGAATAATTTTTTGGATTGTAAATAAAATTCATATTTTTGCAAATATTTTTGAATTTTGTATTAAGTTTTTTTTTTTTTTTTTTTTGAGATAACAATGATGGTAAATACCATAGTATATATTTTTGAATAACTGGTTTAAGGAATAATTAATACTTCTTTGTCAAATTTTTCGGTAATACTAAATAAAGTTCATACTGTTTGTTTATAATACTTCATCGGGGAGTTTTCATTCACAAAAAAAAATCCTAAACTCAAACGTAAAAAATAAACATAAGTAATCAATATCATATACCTATAATATAAATGTAAACAGGACGAAAACAGATAATTGCTGCATCAGTTTCTTTTAATTTTTTTATCCTTTATTGGCAATGCTGAAAAGACATAAGGTAAATCAAGGCAAAATGATTAAGTATTTGTGTAAAAATAAAGAAAAAACAAAGAATGACCTTAAGTACAGGTCCCGTTCGCTGAGTAGACACTGACTCGTGAAGATGGTTTCACACTGGCGCCGTACAGACATCACTAAATATATTCTCAATGTTTGTTATATTCTTTAATAACATAAGTTAGATAGGATGATTCTCACAGAACTCTTGGGGAGATTTTGCAGAACTTTAAGGTGTTTAGACTCTAGGAAAATGCAACTAAACAGGGTTATTGCTGAGCAAAATATGATTTTGAAAGAAAAATTCAAAAGTATTTTGATTTCATGAACGATTTCACCCGTTTTCAATATGCGTACCACCCTGTGACAAGGCAAACGTCAAGTCGATAGACCAGCTCCTGCCGTTGACTCTGCGGTCTGTCTTGGGTAACCGTTTTCTAGCACTGCAAGGATTTTCACGACGTTCTTCAAACTCATCTTCAAGTTTCTCTCCCGTATCCGCAAAGAATTGCTTGTGTCTTTGACTGCCATCTGCCTTTAAGAGTCGAACGAGCTGCAGCTCATAGGGTGTTTTTAGCAAGCGTTACCTTAAGCCATGCGAAACTGTCGTTGCAGGAATCTTATATCGTCTTATGGACTAAAAATGCTCCCCTAATTAGCTCGATCATCTCTTGCGATACTGTTTGTCATCCAGAACCTTTTTTTCTTACACAGATAGCCTTCTTCTTTGAACATCTCTTGTGATACTGCTGGTCGTCCAGAACCTGTATAGATAGCCTTTCTCTTTGAACTGTTTTGTACCATATCCAAATCTGCATTGCAGTTGGTGCATTTTAGCGATTCCTTTCACAAATGCACACTGCACTGTCTTGTTCGGTTGTTTGATTGATTCATTCATACGGTTTTCTACGGCTTTGCAGCTTATTTAAAGACAGAAAATATTTTTAGACTGTAAGAATCATTTTGGAGATAATAATAGTTTCGTGATACAGGTCTTACTAATTAACCCTTAACTGGGGGACAGAAGAGTTGGATACATACCTTTATTTTTTTGTCTAAGTGATATATAACGAACCCAAGAAGAATTAATAATTCCGAGCAATTATCCATTACACTACCTGCGCAGTCAAGCTTACAGCACCTGCTGTTCCAAAGTGGTCACCTATCTAGGTACTGACCAAGCTCGACGTTGCTTAACTTGCTGTGATTGTACGGGAACCAATGTTTTAAATTGATTCGGCCATAAGCCTTTTTCGATTGTGTTCTAACATACCCTGACACATGAAATTTTTCTTTTCCAGTCAATGGCAGTTGTATAGATGAAAAGAGAGAGAAAAATTAAACATATACATTTCTATAGTTATTTATATAATCTAGAGTTCTTTCTCCGCACGCTGTTAAAATCCGAGATCATTTAAACGAGAACTGATCTAGTGATCAGATTATGAAATGATATCAGTTTTTTTTTCCTGAATCACCGTGTAGGCCCGATTTCAAGATGCCGAAACAAAATTTCACCCAGCCTATATCCAGGTAACGAAGCGCTACGTCAAGTCTGGCACAAGGAGATAATACCAGAAAAATGCTTGAGAATCGAACTCATAAAACTAAGCTTGCGAGAAGACATCGCTAACTACTGATATACAGTTATCGCTCAGTTATCATGCATCGTTTTTGGTACATTTTCGCTAATTGCCCAGAGAAACGCACAAACTCTGGCGTATAAAAATATATTTACTACATAAGCAAACATAAATAATTCACACTAAGTGAAATTAATGACGTATCTAAGAATAAATAAACAAATAAATAAATTAAAAAAATAAAATAGAGAGAAAAGAACAGTCTAGTTAACCAAATTCCTATATATATATATATATATATATATATATATATATATATATATATATATATATATATATATATTGCTTGCTGATAATAACTGCCCTCTTCCAAATTTTACCTATATTTAAATTTGACACGATGCCAACATCTAACACCCCGACTCCTCTCCAAATTATCTAACGTTTCCAACTAATGGTTTAATATATATTTATTTTCTTTAGCATTTTTCCCTTCTATTTTTTGTTTGTTGGTTGTGTGCACATGTGTGATGTGTGAGGCGTAAATTATGTCAGCAAAATTTATACTTTTTTTTTCGTTGCTTGGATATTTGCCAATGTCGACGGTGGAGGATTCTTAAATAAATAAAAATATAAGTGAACAAAAAAAAAAAATAATAATAATAAAAACGTCCGGGGTATTGACAAACTTTCCGGGACTTCTAGAAAAATAAGATTAAATAAACAAATTAAAACGAAAATATTTAAAATAAAAATATGGAGAGAAAATATTTTTAGCGACACCATTGATATGTTTCCCAACTTTGAACATGGAAAATTGAAATGTTATTTTGTTTTGCTAATCCGATTATTATTATTATTATTATTATTATTATTATTATTATTAGAAATAGTAGTAGCAGTAGTAGTATTAATTCCAAAATATATGACGTTAGTTTCTTTCGTTGTTACTTTGCCAGGAATTTAATTCTGAAGCCTATCCAAAACGTTTAACACACACACGCGCGATCGCACACGCACACACACACACGCGCGCGCACACACACACACACACACACACACACACACACACACACACACACACACACACACACACACACAGAGACGGTATCTTCTGTGCACTCTGTCATTTTGGGACGTGGACGACCCTGTCTATCCAACATTTTCTGTCCTTTCTAGCCCTTAGTAAAGTTTGTTTTCCAACTATATCTCTTAATCCCTACCAGGTACGTTAAACACTGCTTCACTTTGCCTTCATTATGTCATCTGAGTGTCAAATTTCCCAAGCCCTCTCTGCTCATAAAGTACCCTAGAAATCTCATCTGTCTTTTTCTGATGTTACCTATATGTCCTTTTTGTTTCCGTTTTCTCTCAAACGTCGTTGCTCATATGGTATTCTCAGCATCCTTCTGTAGAACCACATATCTGTTGCAACCAAGCTTCTTCTCCATCTGTGAAGAGATGGTCCCGCATTCACTTCCAAATAGGAGTAACGATATTGCATAGTCTTTCCTTTTTTTTTCCGAATGAGTTTTTCCTGTTTCTTAATACTTTGCTTAAATTTTGCAAGGCTTCTTTTGCTATGTCAATGCACCTTCTTATTTTACTGTCGCATCTGATAACATCTGCTGTCGGAGATCAGTAAAATAGCTGTCGACATCTTAACACTTCTTAGATATTTATATTTTTGCACCTGTTTAGTTCAGCTATCGATTAGCAACACTTCTTGGATATTTAAAGTTTTTGCACTTGTTTAATTTTGATGGCTCCAATTTGTTATTTGCATGTTGAGCTATTCTTACTGTCGGTGTTCAGTCCTTTCTTCTCGCTATCCTTTGCTACCTCGTGTAGGTGTTACCGTGGTTTCCTTTCTGTGTCTGCTACCAACCAATGTCATCTGCATATTTAATTTTCTAAAGTTAGTGATGTCATTGGCTCTCTGTTGATGAGATGCCGAATCGTAAGAATCTGGCAAAAGAGAGAAAAACAAATGTAAGTTTATTTTTATTTTTATTTTTTTATCGGCGATTCACAATAAGAAAATATCCTGATCTTCTACTGGGAAACTCAATATGTATACACATATGTACATATTTTAAGCGACAGTCGAACGACTTAAGCCAAGTAACTGGCCAATGCCAGTCGCTAATTCTTCCTTTTCAATGAGTTTATCAATGTCTGATTTCACTTACATGGTGATGGCTCCTTTTCTTCGAAGCACCAATATCAAAAGAGGTTACACTGAGCTTGAGAACCATAATGAAGGGCAATAAGTTTCCACAAACACAACACAAAGGAAAGAGAGGGAATACACAACAGTCCAATCGGGCGTGCAACCAGGAACTGACTCACGCCGTCTTATGTACGAGGAAGATATATCTATCTGTATATATCGGGTGGCATTTCAGCTAATCCCTGCGGAAGGCAACTGATTCGGCATTCATCACGATAGGTAAGGAGGAGTAGATGCGATTGGCAAAAATAAACTACAGAAGAACTCAAAACTGATCGAAGAATTTAAGTATTGCATTAATATTTAAGCTTATCTTTTAATAGTTCAATGAAAATTCTTCGGCAGTCAAAGACGATTTAGAGACAATTTGATGTACCTCGGTCCTTATTTTCCGTGCGAAAAACTATTTTTAATTTTTATTTCATGAATGACTTTCGTTGGATTTCGCAGTTAATTTCGAATATTCCCAAATTTATTCCCGAGTTCTAAACATTGTTATCGGACAAAAAAATTCTAAAAAAAAAAAAAAAGCACGTAAAATATCTCCGAATACAAAACAACCGCAGTAATGAAAACTTGAGAATCCAAAATTTCAGGATTGCGGGTCCGGATACGAAATTTGCGGACTGGGTCGACCTGATTCCAAAATGATATGAGCTACGGCCTCTAGAAGTTGACAAAGTGTGACACATTGACACATATATATATATATATATATATATATATATATATATATATATATATATATATATATATATATAGGGATGAAAAGTAAGCATATAGTAAGTATTATACCCGTATTATAATAGTTGTTCTATGATACCTTTATTACTCGAATTCATTTTGAATATTTTGATTTTCATAATTTTTAGTATAATACATTTATTATAATTTTTATTTTTGTTAATAATTTATAATAATAAATGTTTTGAAGTTAAAGAAGAACGCGTGAATAAAGGGAGGAAACAGTTTGAGTGATTATTATGATTATTATTGATATGTTTGTTATTGATATGTTATTATTGATATGTTGGTATAATCAATACATTTTGTGCACACATCTTTCCCTTGCTGCATACCAACTTTTGCACCCCCTGTATGTGTTTGTGTGCATGGCGTTTATAGGTTCATCTGAAGTTGCCCTTATACACACACACACACACACACACACACACACATATATATATATATATATATATATATATATATATATATGTGTGTGTGTGTGTGTGTGTGTGTGTATGCAGGCAATAGAGGTTCTACAATCAAAAGCATTTTTCTCTGACCCTTATCTAAAACTCCAGGCAACTCTTTCTAAATATTTCTTGGAATTAAAGGATAGAAACTTCATCTCACAAGTAAAATGGAAATTTTAGGTAAATTGCAAATCACCAAAAGCTTCAGAAATAGATGTAATTTGTAATAGAAGAAAAATGTAAAATAATAAAATATAAAAATACTAGCCAGCTATTGAACCATAGGAATGAGAATTATATTTAAATATAGCCATAAAATAGATTTTAATTATCTTATAAATAGATTTTTATTTCGTAGTCATACCATTATTTTGCAGTATGTATTGAAAATCATATGCTTTGATTTATGTATATGTATGTTTTTGTGTATTTATATATGTGTGTATGTATGTAGGTATATATATGTATATATATATATATATGTGTGTGTGTATGCCTATATATGTTTATATGTGTGTGTAGGTAGGTGTATATATGCATAATTGTGTTTGAGTGTATTATTTATGGATGTACTTATTTTTATTGTGTATGTATGTATATATATGATTATAATAGGGTGTTTATATATATATATATATATATATATATATATATATATATATATATATATATATATATATTGTGTTCGTTCTTATGTGTGGGTATATTTATGTATGTGTATGTAGGATTTTATGTGTATATATATCTGTACATATATATATATATATATATATATATATATATATATATATGCTTGTATATGTGCATATATTGTATATATGTGATTTCTTGTGTATGGATGGGCATATTTGCATATGTTTTTATATATTTTATATGTAAATGCCACACAAACACACACGCGCACACACACACACACACACACACACACACACACAGGTATATATATATATATATATATATATATAGTAAAAAGGCTTAAACACTAATATTCCATGGTCATAATTTATTTCATTGGAATCGTAAATACGATCCAATTCATCAGACCTACAAATTCAAAAGAAAAAAGTTTCTTTTTTGAATTTTAGGTCTGATGAAATCATTTGATTCCAATGGAATAAATTATGACCATGGAATATTAGTGTTTAAGCTTTTACAATATCCTTACTCTGTCCTAGATATTGAGTTCTACCTGGATTCTTCCTCTTGAATTTTTTTTTT